GTATTTTTTTCTTTCCTCAAAGCCAATCACAAAAATCTTGTTTTCTATGTTTTTTGAAGTTCTGGCTTTGCTCTTTCAATCAGAAAAAGAATGAACTTTCTGCGATGTTCCTGAGCGGAGAACCATGGCTGGAGATTTTCGCAGTTACTTTTGCATCGTAGGTTAGACTCAATGTTCCTACTGCGACATTCTGAACAGTAAAAAGGTCCCACGACAAACAAATGTCCCACTAAAATTCCACATATATCATAAACTTCTACGCTAAATTCTGCTTTTTCTGGTATATACAGTATAATTTTAGAGCATAGTCTCGTGTAGGAATTCTCACGTAAAAAAGAGCCATAAGCACAAAAATTTTGCACGGGCTACTTTCTTATCTATTTGGCTTTCAAGAAAACGTTTTCTTCAGACTCTTGTAAAAAAATAAAGAAAAAAAGTATGTTGCAAGAGCTTTTTTAGCGACATTTAGTATCGTATTTTTTTCTTTCCTCAAAGCCAATCACAAAAATCTTGTTTTCTATGTTTTTTGAAGTTCTGGCTTTGCTCTTTCAATCAGAAAAAGAATGAACTTTCTGCGATGTTCCTGAGCGGAGAACCATGACTGGAGATTTCCGCAGTTACTTTTGCATCGTAGGTTATGTTGATATTTTAAATATTACTTCGCGGAAAGTTACTTATTCGACAATCGTGTAGAATCGAAAATTCTCTATCGAATGAGCTTAAAATAGAGTCTCCAAATCATAGAGAACTGCCCGAAAAAAGAGAATGATTCTGGTCCGTTCTGGAAACCACAAAGTTAAGAGAGGTCCCGTTAGAAAACCGACCTGTTACGCTCAGATCGTTCGGAGACAAAATAAAATTTATTTTTCGAAATTATTTGTAATCCAGTTTGAAATACCATACAAAAACACCAGTGAATCCTTAATAGTAGTTTCTCAAAATAACTTGTTCAAAAACTGGATATCCATCAACTTTTACCAGTTTCGGAAGAGTGGTAAAAGTGGTCATTTTTCGATGATATCCGCGTTTTTCAATTTTCTCCAAAACTATTAAAAATCATTATGGCCAATTCAGGTCTCATCTGAAAGAGGAAGAGTTCTTCTACGAAATCATGCATACGATTGTACTGGAAGTATCTGTGATTATGGACCAGAAGATAGAAACAGAATACATCGATTTTTTAGGAATAGGGTCACAGGGTTTTTTCACTATTTTGACCTTGTTTTCTCTAAATCCATGAAATTAACATTGACGCTTTAGGGTACATCCCTTCCCCTCTGTTTTTGTAGAAAAGTTCCATTTTGAGCTAAACATAGTCTGATGTAGAGAAAGTCTGGGCTTTAAAATGAGACCACTCCCAGTTCTTCATGACCTTCTTTGAAAAAATTATGAAGTTTTTAGATTTTTCCTCTAAAGCCTCGAAAATCTCGAATCTTTTAGATTTTTAGATTCATAAATTTTTCTCTCCATTCCTATATAATATACGTCGCGATTTTCGCGATCAGTGTGTAGTAGCGATTATCATTGATTGATTCTCTTCATTCGCTATCATCGCGTCCGCGGTTCATTTGCTATTGTCGCTTTATTTGGCGTTTGATCAAGTTATAACGACTGTCTTATGCTTCTCTTTAGTTTATTATAGTTTTGCTCTTCGGTAACGGAAAATGGGATTAATTCGTATAATGGTCGATTAAAACTTCGCTGTTTTCCCAAATTTTTTGTTCGTTCAATTGACAGTTATTATAATACACAGCCTATGTACCGGTTGAACGAACGATACATTTAGGGTTAACAGCGAAGTTTTAATCGACCATTATACGAATTAATCCCATTTTCCGTGTATATTACTGATATTATTACCTCTCTGGCCATCGTTGCATCATGTTTTACTCGAACTTTTCTTCGAAAACATTATGCGATCACTTTTTGAAGCTTACATCGAACCTACGATGCCTTCAGTACTCCACAATTTCTATCTAAAATGGCAAAAGACATTTTAACTGAAGTACTTATACGGATTCAAAATGAGTACACAGTCATTTTGAAGGTCTAGCCCCTCGTTTAAATCCTTACGGCATATTTCTATTGCGATGGTGAACTATCTTTACCACGGGTGAGACGACGCCCGTGCCCATGGCTTTACTCTATTTCTAAAAAGTTAATAGTGAGCTGTGATAACTTTAGTACAAGAAATTTTCATCTCAGATAAAGTTTTCTGTCCCTTATCATTCAAAGTCTGATATCAAAATAAAGGTGAGCGAGGCTGGTGTCTTATGATTCTAACGGTGAGCCTTACCAATAAGATAACGTTTGCCGTATGTGAAAAAAACATTGGACTTTCAGAGAATGCGTATCCTTGAATACTAGACGCTAATATCCGTTCGTTGCTAGAGCCAATCTAGCATCCTGTGAATGAGGCGGAATGGCTTAGTCCCAATCCTCTCTGCGTGAAACAGGACCGAACTTAAGATATTTAACGAAGTTAACAGGAAAAACTTTAGTAAAATGTGGGACATTTCAGATAGATTTGCTCTATTCTGTGATTCTAACAGGAGCCACTTTTCGCTAAAATTTGAACGAATAACGGTACAGTAGGGGCATATTACAACGACAGAACTCCATCAGATGCAATCGTGTAATTAACTAGTCATTTATTTTGCGTTGGAAACGAAGCCATAAAAGACATTCATCACTATTGCCATATATACGTTCTACATTTGAAAAAAAAATTTTATCCTAGGAAAAAACTATTGTATAACTAAAAAACTTCAAAAAATGTTCATAAAAAAAGTCGCATATTATTAAATCACAGACAGTATGGAAGATCAAGTATGTTCATTGTGACAATTTCAATCATTAGATAATATGAAAAAGTGAGTAATATTCAGTAGTATTGCACAATTATCGTTCAAAAGAGCCACTATTTATTAAACGGGATCTATCTGAATTGCTTCGATGCACGGAACAAAATAACCGTGATAACTAACGGAATCTGGTGTAATATCGTAATGATAACTAAAACGGAAAAAAACAGAATTCATTCGACTTGCTCAGAGCTCAAATATTTTTTGTATTGTGTCTAACTTACTGTCCACAATGTCCATGTTTGCTAAAAAAATGGGTATGTTCGCCATGAAATCCAACCTTGGACATATTTTCAGACATAACAACTGATAAACATATTAAAGGTGCTTTCATTTCATAGAATTTTAGCCATGAATTCACTTGTTCTCGTGTTAATAAGTCTTCGTGTTTAAAATCAGGCATAACATGAGCCTTAATCGTGCCTTCTTCCAAACGAAATACACCACCCAAAACGCATGCACTCGGTAACTCTTTTAAACCACGACGTATTGTTGATATAAAATTATTTTCACTATCTCCATTCTCCACTCTATAACGCTGACTAACTTTAATTTCAATTAACGGCACACTCTGAGCACCATTTGTAACCATCATATGTAAATAGGGACCTAAAATGGAACAAAATCGTGTTCTAGTTCCTATTATTAGGCGATTTTTGATCACGTTTACCAATTTTCTCTGAACAGTATGGTAATTGTTGTTGTTGCTGCGTTTGTTTTTGAATTATTGACGCGTAGGAATGATTATTCTTGATTTTATTATAGGAATTGACAACAGTATTTAATGCCAGTTCAGCATTGCAGTCGAATATTTGTGAGTAAGCAGCACCAGGACCGAAGATAAATGATTGTTCTTCCTTATGACCAATTTGTGATAATACACTTTCCAAATCGAATATTACTGAGTGACCATTCACCTTTTCAACGTTTTTCGGACCACCTAACAACACAATGAATGAGCAAATGAGCTTTTTAAACACAAGCAGAAATATTGTCTCAATTTCATTTATTGATGTTCGTGAATAAAATATTTACCTAATTGACACATAACGGCATTTGTTCCAATGCCTTTCGAGGCTAAATTCCATGGCTCTTGCGTGAAATCCAAATGTTTTGCTTGTTCAGGCTCAATTAGATTCACTTGCACTTGTCTATAAACTTGTTTTAATTCATTTTCAATTGCTTTAAGAATGGAATCATAGGATTCAACTGATTCTAATGAATGACGAACAATTCGATAACTGCGATCTGAATATGATGATTTATGTTTTGTTATTTCCAATAATCGATCATCACGCCACAATTTACGCTCTTGTAAACTATCGTTTGTTATCGGATACTTTTGTCGAAAATGGGCATCAATTTTATCCACAGTTGATTGAGACCAATCATGTGGATAAGACATATCGGCTAAGACACGTTTCATCGTAGATCCATAACGGGCAAAATAATCCTTAACACCACATGGAGCATTTAAATCAACTAAAACAAAGAGAAAATACAATTTTCAAATATTATACTGATTTCATGATAAGTTGACATCTAGAGCGTCAATAGGCAGAGCCTCTTTGATACTTCTTTGATACAATTCTTAATTCTTTTTTTGATTATATTTACTTGTTTGAAATGGTCCCATAAAAGACCATCTACATGCCAGTCCACTTGTCATAGCCAGATCAACATCTTCGGGTTCAATAATACCATCTTCAACCAAGGATAATGCTGATGCTAATACAGCATATTGCATTCTATTCATGACAAAGCCATCCACCTCTTTTTTCAATCGAATTGGATGCATGCCTAATGATTTATAACGTTCAACAGCTAAATCAACATATTTTTTATCGGTCCATTCAGAGCCAACTATTTCTACTACAGGAATACCGGTGGGAGGATTGAGCGGATGACTAAAACAAATAGATATCAACACCATTTACTATAAGTTACCACATAAATAGTCTATTCAGATTAATAAGTACTACGTGTATGACTTACGCTACAATACATCTGTGTCTTGTTTGTAAATTTTTTGTAAATGCTGATGGCATCAAACACGATGTTGAACTGGCTAAAATCGCCGTATCTTTCACTAGGCGATCTAATTCTGTAAATAGTTGTATTTTCAAGTCTAAATCTTCTGGGATACATTCTTGGACATGATGGATCTCGTTCAATGAGAATAAATCAACTATTTTTGTGACAGTCGTTATTCGTTTTAGAATATCTTGTGGCTGTTGATTGTATAAGAGATTATATTTTGCTAGTTGCTCAAGTTGTTGTTCAATATTGCAGAGAGCATCGGTTAACGCTGATGGTGAACTATCATAGAGGAAAACATTGTTTTGAGCTCGAGCAAACATCACCGCCCAACAACGACCAATTAAACCAGAGCCAATGATCGCGTAATTCAGCATGATTTAATCTACAATGGTAAATAATACAATGTGTCAAATACAAATATTATAATGATTTAAAAAAGAAATAGATATGTTTAAATATATTTGATGTCAGGAGTACACACTTTTCTTTATTAAAACTATACATAGTGAACAACATTTGCATACATATCCTAATGATATACACAAGTCGTGTAAGTTTAGTGAATATTTGTTTCAATGATAGCTTAAGATATATTCATAGTTTAAAATGAGACCTATTTAAATAAATGCGTTTTTTCAAAGAAAGTTTGTATTAAATGGTAAATATAATCAGAGGTGTACTGTACTTCAGAATCAATTTTTAATAGAACAAACAAGAGACAATTTTTTCAGAAAAATCTACATAACAGTTGGAAAATAACAGATATTTTCTCACCTTATATATGTATCATTTAGAAATGGTTAAAAAACCAGAATTTAGTTAAAACCTGATCGTTCTTTCCCAGTATCACAATGATAGAAACAGTGGCTTCTGTCATTGACATTGTGACTCAAATAAACAAAATATCTTTTATTTCATGTAGTTCATAAAGAAATCAACGAAACCTGCTACTAATCTACCACATGTCAAAAATTAACATGCTTTTTTTATGATTTCATCTGAAAGAGCATTCAAAATGACCACAGAATTTAAAAATCTTAGTCTTAAGTAGCTCACAACAACCGCATTATGAATTTTGCAATAAAAGCCTTAAGTCTATTTGTATGCTCCTATTGTGCTATTTCGTTTATAGCTTTATCGTTTATTATTTGTTTATTTCGAACAACGTCCATTCGAAAGAGCCAGAAATACTAAAGTTTTAAATTACGTCGCCATTTTGGATCATAGGCACAAAACAAAAATTAATATCATTCTGTAGAATGCTAAATAATGCGTCATATCAGATAAAGATAGATGTCAGAGCTTCAGGAAGTTTTCAAAAAGCGTGTTTTTTGCTTTCACACCTCGCTTTATCATTTTCTCAAGTCAAATATGCCTCAAAACGAAAAAAAAAAAAAAATCTTAGATCGAAGTTTCTCGTTTCTGACCCAAAAATCGACGGGATGAACCAGTTCGATGTCTTAAGTGCGAAAAACATGTAAGAGATACTTTATTTGATGCAGCTGTTCACGTTTATCACAATTATGATATTTACTTTTAGTCAAAGGTCGAAGCTTTGAGATACGACTATATTTTTTCACGCTTTTTAGTTTATCAAATTGATGAGATTCTTCTTTGTTCTGTTTCTTCTTTACATCTACCTTTATCTACTATAGATTTTGGCATTAGAGAATGGCACTAGTATAATTTTACACTTATGGTCCTAAATGCCGATGTAATTCAGAACTTTGAACTTTCAAAATATTTAAATTATGAAAATTTCGCTTTTGTCTTCAGCAAACTAAAAGAATAAAGATCTTTTAAATATCATATACTATAAACTTCATAGTTTACTCATCGAGAATTTGATTAAACAGACTCTTTGTGAAAATAACTCGTCTCTTTTAGAAGATGAAAAAATTTAGTATTTTCGGCCGTTTTATGTAAAATATCAAATGGGATTTTAAAGAAGTGGGTTTTATTTCTACGTATGACACCGGCTCTCAATTGGCTCGTGGATACTCTCTTAAGTACAAACGATTCTAACAATCTAAATTATAAGATCCAAAATATGATTTGGACTAATGTTTTCCACGATCCATATACATCTGCTTTGTTGTCTCGAAGTCGTTCTCTATACTAGATGTTTCTAGATAAAAATCTTATAAGATGGTCAATGTAGAGCCACATGGATACTGGTGGATAAATTATATTTAGAAATTATCAGAAAAAGTAATTTATTTATCAATCAAAACACGAAGATGTATATGAAAAGTTAGAGATAATTGCATAAAAATTAGATAAACTCTTAGTTAACAATAAATTTTAACATGATAATACTGTTACATGTTCACAACGGCACTATCTATAGATAAATTATAAACTGTAGAATTGTGCAGCATGAGAAGATTGCGTTTCTATTTGACCAATTTTAAATTGTAAACGATTCAACCATTTTAGTAGTATAGCTAAATAGAACAAAAAATAGTCATAGATATCGTCAAAATGCTGTGTTGCTTTTTTACACGAATACATACCGTACATAAATCGTGTATCGCCTTGCGTTTCTGATGAAGGCTGATGATTAAGACATGTTTGAAGACGGACTTGAACATGAGCTGGTAACTGTGCTTGATGAGTATACAAAACGGGTATCCATAATGCAAATAGCTAAACAGAAAGAATATAAATATTTGCTCTTTGGTATTGTTATCTTTCAATGAATATTTGTAACTTACATTAGCCAAAACAATCGAATTAATTTCTTGTAGTGCTTCGATTAAACTTAAAAAATGAAGATTGACCATTTCAGCAAGCTAGAATAAAGAGAGATGTTGAACGATTATGTACAACAACAACAAAAATTAATTAAACACTGAATGAAATGAGAATGGCAGTGATAATTACAAAATAAAATCTTTAAAGAGTGAATACAAGAAAAAACAATGTCGATTTAGAGAAGTACTAAATAGCATTGAACGTGAAAAGATTGTGATGAATTGACAACATGAGAAAAAGCGGCTAACGGAATATAAGGGCGATTAAATCACGGATTTTTTATTGAAAACAAACGGTAAAAAAAATGTTATTTAATTCTTCTACAAACTGTTTGTTACTGAAACATTGATAGTAAAAACAAAATTGGATTTATGGATCTTAGGCATATATCTATTTTTGATAATGGTCAGACTATCTCATAAGACACACACAGAGTTTAATATTTATGTGTGTGAGAATGAAAATACGAACTATAACGACAGTGAATATGAACATCAATGGTTATACCTCTCTCTGTTTATGAGTATACTCTTTTTCCTAAACAGGTGAAACTATATCGATCAAATCTTTTCACAATTCTATAGTCAACATACCACTTTCGAATGAGATAATAAATGTAGAATTCCCGGTGTTATTCTCGCCCAAAAATCCATTATGGCTACTAAGGCTTCCGGATCATGACCACGATTTACTTGTTCACAATACATAGTCCATAACTAAAGGAAAGAAAAGAAAAAAGAAATCATTTATTCGGCAGTAATTTGAATAAATCTAATACTGTCCGACAAATATTAACCGGTTAATCGTTTAAACGATCATTATTTTGTAAATTTATAGTTGTTACTCAACGGTAGTCTGTATAAATGGTTTTGACGCATATTCCTAACTATATTATTGTGAATGTTACAGACCAAATTACTGCACATATGCCGGCCTTATCAACCCTTTTTTAAAAAACACCGAAAAAATTTAGCTATTTAGGCTGTTTTAATGAATAATTTATTTACACGTACAAACTGTACGCGCAGGAGTGGGGCAATAAATTTAGATATTCTTACCTGACAAAGTATAAATGAGTGAAATAACGATGACATATGAATGACACTTGTTTTAGATTGATCTGCAAATCCTGTTAGAATATATAGAATATAATCGGCAATAGCTTGTGAAGCATCGACGGGTATCGGATGACAAATAATTGTTCCTTCATTGCGTGTTATAGCTGCATGTGTCAATGAACCAATCATTAACCAAGAGAGAAAACGTATTCGATCAATACAATCGATAAATTCTTTTGCACTAAAATAATTCAAAAAAATGTGACATGGATTTTCATTAACACAGAGTCAAAAGTAAATCTTGACCATTATTGGTTTAAATTAGTATTTTTCTCCCTGCTCGACCACTCTTAAATAATTCGCTCTTTCTAATCAGTGGGATACTAGTTTTGGTATACTAGAAAATTTTATTCAATGCATTTGAATGGTAACAAAAATGAGTAGATACCCTTGTTGAACCGATGGTGGCGGGTTGTATAGCCATGGTAAAAATCGAATAATAGCTTTTGTATCGCGTTGTCCACCCTTAGTAAATTCCAAAGCAAGATATTGCGCTAAACCGGCTTTCAATTGTCCACCAAGTGTATCTTCTGTCAAATTTGACAATTGTTGTTTTTCACTTTTTTCTTTCATTGTACTCTATAAAGACACATCGTGTAGACGAATCTTAGTCTTTTAACTCTCCTAAATATCGTACTTTCACTTTTGTTATTGTGTGTATATCAGCAATAAATGCAACAGTTTCATTTAAATAATGTTTCATACATTCCGCACCATTAGTTGTTACCTTAAACAAAATACAAATACTTTGTACAAAAAAGTAGTTTTACTTATAGTGACAGTTTTTCAGAGTTCTTGTAACAAATTTGAAGAGGTACACAAGTGATACAGGTGTTTTCAATAGTTTAATAGTTCATAACACAAAATTTTTCTAAAACTGTTGTAATTAAAAGATTAGTAATAGTATCGTCTGTGTATCTGTCCATATGTAAGACTCGAAAAACAAAACATATACAGCACAAACAGAACAACACAAACGCACGCACAACATTATGTGGATCATAGGCCCTAACGTCATCAGCAACAATAGCCGAAGCATATATTGTTCCTCCAGCATCCAATAAAATTAACTAAAATAAAAAACATAAAATAGAAAAACAAAATGAATTTTTCATATTTAGATTAATAATCTACTTGTATCATTAATAATAAATTTCGATCGGGACATGTATAACGATGTAACATTGCTTCAACAAGTACACTAACAATACAACGTGGTAATAGTAATTTTTCACGATCCTAAACAAACAATTTTCAAACTTTAACATATAAATAAGAGAATTATTTCACTTTATTTGTGTCAAAATTTATCATTTGAAAGATTACCTTTGTAAAAGCTCGATTAGAGAGTGAACATAATTCAATGATATGTTCTAATTGAAATGCTGAATTTTGTAAAATAAATGTTAATAATTTTGAAAATGGATCAATAACAAGTTTAACATTGGCAATAACAGGTATTTTGAGAATAATCATCATAATTTTAATACAACTTGTCAAATCATGACCAACACCTGATGGTACTTTGACATAGACCTTTATTAATTTATCGAATAACAAATCAAATTCAACAAAAACACTGGTCCATAGTTGAACAGGAGAATCAGTTGGAATATACTCCATAAATATGGCTATATTTTTCAGTAAAGTCGTACAAATATCTACATTCAATGTTTTCTGTTTATTCATATCCTAAAACATAAAATACGATAGTATAATTGTATGTAATATAAACAGATTGAAGCTAACATTTAAAAGCCATTTGAGAGCTATTATTGAACTGAAATCGATAAAATCATTCAATGATAGTGCGATTGTATGAAGTAGTTTTTCATCTAAAAAACAAAAGAAAATAAAAGACCGAGAACTTATCAAAAAACATGTTTGTTTATTTAGAAATTTTACCTTTAAAATTTTGTTGAAAAAATTGATAACAAATATTATTTCCCGCCAATTGATGAAATGTACAGCGAATAAATTGTTGAGCGATACTTCGAGCATTAGCTGGAACAACATAACTAGAATTAACTTGCCACGTATAAATGTTAGCAGCAGCTACCCTACAAAACATAGTAAAAGAATTGCAATAGTATCATGTACTAAGGTAAAAAACTGAAAGAATTAAATCTTAGAATTTTTTAGAATTAAATTTATTGGCTTGAAAAAAAATATATGAGAAAACGATCAATAATTTATCAGACTGACTTAGTTCACATAATATGTTTTCTCAATCGTAAAATGATATTACCTTCCAATAGTTTCAATCATATCCATGAGAAGAGGAGCACCAATTGCTGGTTCACGATGAATAAGAGTTGAACAAACAATGATACAATAACCAATACATTCTTCAGAATAATTCTCAATTATTGTTCCACATTTATCACATTTTTGAGGTGTTAAATAGACTTGAGAATTTAAATTATTCTCATCTCCGTCAATATCAACATCTGTTTTTCGACCGGATGACAATGAATGCAATGTACCACCCGTTTTTAAATGAAATTGAGACGATGATATACGAGCTGGACGACTATACACATAAATACCAAACGTATAGAGCATTCATGAAGTTAACATTGATTCTATTATTTACCTGGGTGGTGTTGATCTTACATCATCTTTAAATTTACCCTTCTTGTGATAGCTTGGCTTTAACTTTGTTGTCGATGTACCCATTGTGGCTAGGGCAGATGATGATAACGATTGAATTTTTGGACTCTTAGGTGGACTATCTTCTAAAAAAATACACCCAGTTCTATTTAAGATATAAAAATGTGTAGTACTGTTCTACCTTTTGGTTTAAGTAAAACGGTTTCGTGTCGTCCTTTTTCCGCTGAATAGATAACACGAGAAAGTTCTTTGGCACCTTAGAAAACCATAATAAACTGTAGATACTAATCATTTTTTGTGATAGCAACATTTACCTTTTCTTGAATCTAACTTTGATATACCCGAACCTTCTATCAATTTGTTTTCGGTTGTTGTCGCTAGTGAACTGGAGATAGGCACAGTACTCGCTGCTCCACTAGCTGGTGTTCCACTTGCACTACTTGCGAAGAAACTTTTCAAAAAACCTGTATAACCATCTCGTCGATCTTTCTCTTTCTTATGGGATACAGGTCCTAATGCTTCTTCAGTATGAATACTAAATGGTTCATCTAAATATTCAATTTCGGGTTTGTACAATCTAAAAGAAAATGGTACGATGAATAAATGATGAAAATGGGCAGATAGTTCACATAATGCTTACTTTGTTTTCATTTTCTTTGGTGGTGATAGTAATTTGATATGTTTATGTTGTCGATCTGTTACAGTAACGTCCGACTGACCATCGTCATATTCTCCTCCTGCACCATTTTGAAAATATTTTGATCCAACTTCATTTGTCTCTATTTCACGAATATCATCAAACGGTTTTGATGAACCTAAAATAACAGAAAATATTCTCTTTATTTGCAATAACAATTTACATCTCATTTACGAAAATTATAATAACACGCTATATTTACCTCTTCTCGATCCACCCACTTTGGGCGTTAATCTACCTCCTGTTGGTCCTCCGATGCCAAAGATAGGTGTTTCACATTGATGATAACGACTTAATATTGTATTCATAGCAACGCGAGTTAATTGTTGAATGGTAGTAGCAAATGAAGTAAATTGATACTAGAACAATAAACATAAAAGCGTATTTTAAATGCGTCTCTCTAACTGTCATACTTTATATAGGATAATAATTAAAACCATGAGCCATGAATCTCGAAGACTTGGATCAATTCTACCTAGTGTATTTGTTTGGGTTACATTTTCAAAATAATGAGCGGTTGCATTTGAACACGTCGAATATTGAAGTACTGATAAAAATATTGGCAACAATATCGTGCAAAGACTATAGTTATAATCCACAACCTTGAAGCATAATTCAACGAGATAATAAAGCGATGCAAGCATAACAGCAGACATACTTTAGGTAAATCTGACAGTACAGCATGAAATACAGGACTTTTTCTAGGATGAAAAAAAAAAAAAGCTTTAAGAAATCAGATTTAAAACACTACTGTCAATATTTACCTCAATCTACTTGGTGAATACGTAAATGTTCGATTTGTTTGATTGTAACCAAGTAATGAACATAAATGCCGGATGACAACATTCTGATAACATAACTTAGAATTAAGTTTAGAAAAAATAACGAAAACTCTAGACTCACCTGATGCTTAAACATAATACGATCTTCACCTACTTGATTCTGATCATCCTTTGTCATAAACTAAATGACAACTGATCCAATAGAACTAGTAGAGCAATCGATTTTAATTTACCTTCATGAGCAATGTTACAAGTAGCTGTAAGGTTGATTTATCACTACTTTCTACATCTGGTAGCAAACTGGCAATCGAGTCGGTTTCAGAGTGTTCAGTAAGATGAGCTAAATATTGAAGATTATTTATAATGTTACACTATATAAAGAGTATGTATTCGGCTATCATTTTGTATCTTACTATGAATTGATGCTGATGCTAGATTTGATAGTCGTCTCGGAATTGATGATTGTGTTTCTCTTGTTTGTTGAGTTGTTGATGGCGCGGGTATTCTAATCGATTTATTTTGTTGTAATTTTATTGATGATGTAATAGGTCTAATACTATCTGTTCTAGCCATGGCAAATTTAATTTGATTTAATTTTCGAATAAAATGTTCACTTTCTGTATTAAATCCACCAATGGATTGTGGTGATACAATATCACCTGATTCTTCTAGACTAATTTGTGATTCTAATGATAGTGTATCAAATCGATTTAAGAAAAATTCCCAATTTAAAACTCCTTTTGTTGTGGATTGTTGTTTATTTTGTTGAAGTAATATCGAATATAATTTAGATAGACGATGAAGAATGAGAGAACGATCGCTAATCACAGTATCAAATTGAAATTCGAGTGAACACATAACGGTACGCATAGCGCAATCTGATAGGGTTTCGAGAGAACACATCGCCTTTTGACTAACAGTCGGTTCAATGTCTTCAATTGATGCCATTAGATTCATGAATGAATAGGCCAATACCGATAAAACATTATAATTATTCTTAACAAATTTTGGTTTTAATAATTGGGTTAATGATATAACACGAGTGACTAAATAAAAGAAATCAATATTTCGGTCAATCAGTATCATCTCATCATACCGTTAACGTTTTAGTCGTTTAGAAATGAAGGAAGATAAAAAAATACTCCTTTTATTTCTTTACTGCATTTACTCTTTTTAATCATTTGCGGTCAGTCACACTGTTAACTGTATAAAGACTGGAGGAAGCAAAAGTCTAAATTTTTAACAGGAATAAGAAATATATAGTATATAGTATTCCTATTCTAGTATATAATATATAATATATAGTATATAGCATCCATTGGTGGTTTACAATGTTTATTCGTATACAACAGTTAATCTGACTTACCAGCTGACGATCGAACTTTCCAATGTGTACTTGTATAGTCTCTATCAAGTATTGCCCACAAGGCTGATTTGCCTGCTTCATAACTCAAAGCGTGTAACAATAATGGAACACAACATTCATTTAAATGACCGTAACCAAGACTAAGAATTTTCCAAATACTAAACAAGAATAGAGCAAAACTGAAATAGAAGAAATCTAGACTATCGTACGATATTTTGCTAAATATTATTGAAATGATAATTGGTTGACAATGTTCAACAAGCTAGACAACTTTCGTTTTAAATACTCACTGTGGTATAAGTAATCTTTCTAAACAATATATTAAAAATCCTCTATTATCTTTGGCTGATGTTTCTAAACATTCATCATTCAATATTAGCAATCTTAAACAACATAGCAAGTAATACAAGGCATCAATATCGATAACTCTGTCTAGCTCCTAAAAAATAAATTAATAATACGGAAAAAGTTGATCTTTTTTTCAATGTTGCGCTTTACAAACCTTCAATGCAGAATAGAAAAATTGTAGATGGATGTGTAACGTGTTGAGTTTGAAATAGAATACACCATGCGAAGTAATCCATACTCCACCATCAGGATTATTTTCAACTTTTAATTCAGGAGCCAAAGATGTTTGTACTTGTTGTTGTTGAATGGGAGGTGATGATACTATAGCAGGCGTATCTGGATCTTGTTGACCATTTGTTTGCTCATCTTCATTTGACGATGATATACTCACCGTTGTTCCCGGCCCATCTCCAGCAGAATCAATATCTAAACGCGCACACACACAACACAATATTATCGTTTCATTAAATACGTTCTACAAAAACAAACGTTCTATAAATCAATCATTCGTTAAAACTTACTAAATTTTGGTTTTGTCATTTGTTGTTGTTGCTGTTGTTGTTGTTGTTGCTTTAATTCATTAACATTTGGCACTTCTAACTCTGGTAATTTAATTTCATCTCTTGGCGATATATGTTTTAATAGATCATTTGCAATTGAGAACCAAAGAATATATTCTTCACAAAATGCACATTGACTTGACAAATTTCGACAATGATGTCGACGAGTCCATGGTAGTATTAGTTGTTTATTTAAAAGTAATAAAATTTCTTTTGATAAGGGATTATACATGCCTTGATGTTGAGGAGTTAGTTGCAGTTCCATCTAAAATAAAACTAATTTTGTTTCTAATATAAATGATATATATTTGATAATTACCTGTTTGAGAAGCATATCAATCATCATTATACTGCATTTTGAATTTAATTCTGATTCATTGATTATAAACTCTTCCTCTTCTTCTTTAATGATTGACACCATTTCTTGTCCAGTCATTTGTTGTAACATTAATTGATGACGATGGGCACGATACGTTTCATATGTGTCAAAAACAAGAAATTGTTTGGCGGATGATGGTAATGAAGATGTTTGACCTATAACATTGAAAGATAGAAAATAATTATATTGAAACAAAAAGTGTTTTTTTTAACAGATTATTTGTACATAACTAAGTATAGTCTTCGAATATTGGGAATAATCTGAATCTTGTTCTAGACTTTACCTATCGTTTGCGTTGTCTCATTTCCTTGCACTGTATTTAAACCTTGTTCAAATGAATTACGTAACGATTGTTCGTTCGACGATGAAGTATAAACTTCTCGTCGTTGTGCGCGTGATTCTAATTTTTGTAGAGAATTAACTCCAGTTATGAATATTTGCATCAGTAATTGAACAGGAATAAAAATTTCTAGTTGACACAAAATTTGTAACCATTGTAACGCTTGCTCTTGAACACTAGCCGGTGCAGGAGACTGAAAACGATCGGTGATAAAATTGTATAATTGTTCACGAGTTAACGATGATGGAGACATCTCAGGATCGAACATTTTTCTAAATATGATAAAATTTAACTAATTTAATTATTAGACTCGATTGATCAGACAGGATAAAACAATCTTACCTTAATAATAGTTGTAAATCCATAATATCCGTCTCCGATACTTCTAATCGAATGGCTTCCATCCAATATGGCATGATATAATCCCAAATCTATATATGGAAAACAGAAAGTTTATTGCATAAAAGTTTAAATTAACGAGACTAGAACGAGCCTCGTAAGTAATTATATCGGCTGGAATTAAATTAAATAATTTATTTAAACACTCTTTGATTTGAGTTGGACGATTTGCCATTGTTTCCCTAAATTAAAATTTTTTTCTTTTTTACAAGTTAATTAAAGAGAAAAAAAATTATTGGTTACCATACACCACCAACTTTGGCAAAATCCATTGGATGAGGTAATAAAATCGAAACAACCAACTCATAATGCTCTTTGACAACAGCTTTACTCCATGGAATTATATGCTAAACGAATAAAAAACAAAATCAGATACAGTAAATATTAAATTCTCTTTTTTTTACTTGTGTTTTTAATTTTCCTAATGTATTTCCAATCTCATCATCTGGCAAATATACACTTGAGTCAAACCATTGAAATAACATACTTAACAGACGTCCAAATATTTCTGGTGGACCATATGAGGTCGGTTCAATTAAACCTACTAACAGATACACACCGTATCGGCTTAAACGTTTTCGACTAGCATCAACATCAAAAGTTGAATAAACAATAGGATTCTGTACGGTATTCAGTGACGTAATTTGTTCTATTGTTTCTACTAATAGAGATTTACGATCTTCATTAATCGTATCATATATTCGACGTTCTTCAGGATTATCAGCTTCTTTTAATAAACTAAAATAGAGAAAGAAAATTTAAACGTACAAAATTGAACTTCAACTTCATCTACTTTAACAGCGACTTCTATTTAAATTTCCTGCTTATAGTTAAAAAGACTTATTTAAAAAAAAAATTTCATTCAAGTTTCTTCAAGAGATTTGTACACAAACTCTAAATGCTTACCTAATAATAGCTTCAACAAGATGATTTTGTGCATCTGGAGGTAATCTCCAAATATCAAGAATTGTTTCTTGATAAACATGATTTGAGTCAATGTGACGTCTTTCATGACATTGTCTACAGAGACTTATTGCCTGATTAAAATTTGTTTGACAACACTCGATTGAATAACATACAGCATATGCTGATTTATTATCAGATATACATGACTAAATATAAAAATGATACAGAATAAAAATACCATTATTTTAGCATGAATCATACTTTATTTTGGCAATGTAAATCAATTTCGGCTACTGGTAATAAAATATTTCTACAATATTGTTGAATTTCTTTTGGTGAACTCTTGTAACAATCCGTACACATATACAATGGTGGAGGACTATCGTGACCGTGCATCGATAATATAGCATTTACACAAACCTCGAAAATAGAGATTAAATTAACACATAATTCAAATTTTATCTGAGATTTTTTTACTTTCGATGCAATATTTTTCTTTTCCATGCAACGCTCTGTTTGACAAATAATGGGTTTACGGGCTAAAAATATATAAGTATGAAAGTGATTGTGTATATAGACAATGAAAATATTCATCACATACCATTAAAACTAAAATGTGATGATTGTCGATCTACTCCCAATGGGTTTAACATTGGCCAATAGAAAAATAATAGATTAGCTGCAGCTGAACGAGCACTCGCTGCACCATGAGCAATCACAAACAATATATCCTAAAAGAAACATTAATGATTTATTCAGACACGCTAATACGACAACAATGTTCGGACAAACAAAAGCATCAAAACATTCATTTACAGGTTGCTCTAAAAATAAGTAATTTGTTCATGGAGAGATGGACAATAATATTCTCTGCTGATTGTATATAGGTGATCGGGAGCTGCAGTATGGTGGTGTAGTTACCAAACTTAAGGAATGGATAACCATTGACCACAGGAAGGTATTGGATTAAACTGACAAGGCTGATTTGCCAGTGTCCGCCACCGATACAAAAAGAAACATTCTCTCTTACTACATATGACTAGGGATCTAACATTTAACAATAAAAAACAGACGCAATATGCAAACAAACAATGATGCACATGCAATGGCAATGAACAGTATTCACAACAAAACATTCTCTGTGTGGTAAGAACAAGAACTCACGTAGATTAAATCGGCTTTCAAGCTCAAAAGACACTCCATCAATTGAGCATGATAGGCTAGATGAAGATTGGTTTTATTTACTTAAGCTATGCAGAAAAGAGATGTTACAAATTCGTCAACATACTTGGATTTTCAATATTTTCGAGTACAATAAAAATAATAGATGCAATCGATGTTGTTGTCATAGAATGTTCTGGATATTCTGTGTACGCTAAAAAGGAAATAATAATAAAAACTTTTAGGTTAGCCACGAGTAAATAGCATGACACGAATAGAACTAATCTAAAAGATATTTTCTGGTAAAATTTCTTATTAATAAGGGCAAAGGCATAATAAAAGTTTACTTTTTCAAGATTTTCAACCTCTTTGATTAGAAAATTATACTCGTCTCTTACGCTTACCCATGTTAATTGATAATAACGTTTGACATAGTGTATCTAATATTTCTTTGTGTACATCTTGTGGAAATGTTGATAGTGTTGATGCAAATGTGTATGGTAAAGCGTCTAAGAGATCATACGGTAAAAATGGTGCTAGACATGCTAGAGCATGTAAAATACATTGAGCTAACAACGTTTGACCAAGTTGTATGGAGGGAACAATCTCGATCAAATTAATCAGTGAATGATATAGTGACGAATAATTGAGACTTGGATATTTACTAACACGATAGGAATGTTTCCCAGAATATTGATCTTGATTAGGTTCAATTGTCATCTCTTTTAATACTCTAGAATACAGTATAATATATACATTTCTCTCACAGCTATAGCCACGGTGTTCATACTAGGCAACATTCAACTTACCCAAGTAATGCTTGTGAAAAATATTTGACAGCGTTTGCAATATCAAAACCGGATGGAGGTACTCCACTTGTAACATTGTTATAAAAATCATTCAATGTGCGAACTTTTGATGAAACTTGATAAAATAAATAAAAAAATAAACAAACATAAAACTAAAGAGATACGTAGTGATTGTACCAGATACTCACAGGCAGCTGCACGAGTTGCCATTTTGATACAAATAGTAAGTACGATTTAATCTGAAAAGTATTAATAAGATAGTCTTTACCCCTACTTTGTAACTTTTTGGAGTTGTTACAATACGAAAAAACTGTTGGAGTAACTTTGTGGTCTAATCCAGGAGGGATACAGAGCTAGTAGCAGAACCGTACTCAGGAAGATCAGTTCTCTCCTGTTCTGGACCTTTTATTGTACTAAAAAAAAAAAGAGTCGCGCAGCTGATAATAAAACAGTGTACAGACGCATTTCATTATCCTCGCTCATTCACACATATACACAATGAAAACAAATTCATACTATTTCGACGGGGAAGAAAAGTTTTTAAGTCACCTTTCTATCAAAACTTCAGGTCTGATCAGTATTTAAACAAATAATTAATCAAAGAAACGTGAAGATCGATTTATTAGACCGACAAGAAGATTGAAATAAATTTATTATGTACAATTTTAACCAAGTCTCGATGACGATGAAGTCTTCACTTCTTCCGTTAAGTATTTCTTGAACGTCTATGATGTAGTAATCTTGAAAATATACGAGTACAATATATTATCCTACTCAAAGTCTTTACACTACATGTTCATTTAAATCTCCATTTGATAAATTGCAAAAATTTCAATGAGCATTTTTATTTACAGTTAAATTTCTTTATAAAATTAATGTGAATTTTGTTTGATTCAGATGATGATATTAAAAACAAACTCAAATACAATATAATTTTTTATGCAAACAGCTGATTAGTTTATTTTCGATCAACAGTGAAACATTACACTGCCATCTACGATTTAATAAAATGTTGTTTAAATCTATCAAACAAAGTATTTTTATTATAATAAGAGCCTTCAACATTGTATATGTGTTCTATGTTTTGATATTCATCGTTTATGATATAAGCTATTTATTTGAAAAAGAAAGAAATCAGCAATTTTATACTATCTCTACCCACCGAAAAAGAGACAAGCCCCATTATTATCGGCGATAGAGAAAACAAGAGCTACGGTGATAACAATAGAAAGATCTAGTAAAAGAAGAAAGACGAAAACAAGATCATCGTTTATCATCCTAAATAGGAAACATATTTATTCTATCTCAAACTCATATCAATTTCATGAACTATTTGTTCATGATATGTTGTTTGGTACTGATCGAACCTATTTAATATGCACGTCAAAAACGCATCAATCAAATATAATAAATAAATACTTTCATAGCTCTCTCACTTTGTTTTATTGTTTAAGTTGTTCGATTTCTCGCATTCATTTAAACTATACATTAAATATCGATGTTCGAAAACAGTATGTCACAATAACACTATTTAAGAATAATGGTGAAATAATCCTTATTTTCATCCTTTTTTAAATTCACTACGGATCGTTTGTCTAAAATTAATTTTCTCTTTTTTTGGATATCTCACTCATGTTTTTCGGTCTTATGTGCATTCGTCACCGAATGGATATCATATAATTTTAAAATTATTTATATATATTTATTCCATTGCAGAAGCAATACTTTAAATAGAAAAACATCTAACAAAAATGGACCATAACACAGCACTAATTGAATTCCTTAATAATCAAAATTGAATACAAATGACAAGCCCTAAATTCAAGATCTATTTATAATATATTGTGCAATAGTAATAGGAAAAATGTCGTATATATAACCCTCATTGAATATAATAAAATGGATATAGTTTTGTCAGAGCACTCAGACCCGGAATGATTTATATATAAAAAAATGTAGAATTGAAAGGACTACAAAATGAACTATAACACATTGTTTTAAAAGTTTGCCTTCATAGATGTATTGGACAAATACTTGACAGATATCTCGATTTTACCCGTAATGGCAGACAAAAATGACGTCAACCGACGTTTGAGCGCCCGACATTTGAGCGCCGACATTTGAGCGCCGACACTTGAGCGCCCCGACATTTGAGCG